ACCTCCTGTTTTCTTTTTCACACAGTGAATTCATCTGTCTATGATGAAATGCGAGTGACCCGCTGAGTACTTGAACTCATGGCCTCTCCCTTGTGAATCCAACGTTGTGTGCCATCAGTCAGTAATGTTTTTTTAATGCTATATCTTCAGCTTCATGACCACTAGAGCCTGCAATCCCCCTGTTTTCTTCCCATTCTTTCTGTTCCCTTCTCTTTTACTTATTTAACTACCTCTTACTCAGCACCTTTCGATTCTGAGCCCGACGCTCTACGACTGACCAACTAAGGTCTTCGTCGAAGAGACGGTACGGCAGTGTTCCAGATCGAGCAATGGAATTGATGCATCATTACGGGTTCACAGGATCAATCAAAATTGACATGACGGGAGTTGTTGAGCATTTTTTGACGTGCTGTAATGGAATCGCGCTGTCTTCCTCCTCTGTTCAGAACGGGTGACGACTCTGTTTCTGATAGGTCTTTCCGTCAGTCTTCGTCAGCCGTTGTTGTGCTGCTACGCCCCGGCTGGCAGAGGGCGATGAGCAGATTCTGATCGCCGATTTTTCGCAGTCTGTCTTAGTCCCCCAACAGCCTGCGCGGCCCTTGGTAACCCGGACGACGACCGAGCCGGTATAATTTTCGATGGCGTCAATACCATGAGTGGCAGGTGGCTAAATTTTACGGAGACTTGCCACGGTCTCTAACCCTCTTCCTTTCTCATCCGGGCTTGAGACCGGCAACGGCGGAGTTTCGGCGTAAAGCCGTTGCTTCTTCAGACTGAAAAGTCACAGCTGCGATGGTTTGAGCATGTGTTGCGAATGCCTCCAGAAAGGAAGGCGAGGCAACTATTTCTTGCCCAACCGACCGACAGAAGGCCCAGGGGACGGCGAAGGTTAATTTTGTGCAAATATATGGAAGGGTTCTGTTCTAGACTCCAGTTGTCTTCTGTCGAAGCTCAGACTAGCACAGGATCAGGAACCTCAGAAGCACTGTTTGACGCGTCTGCCTCCGTGACTCGAAAAGAAGAAGCGGTTATGGAGGATGAAGGAATAGTTTAGCATTACATTATACAGTACCTTGTGAATCGCCGGCATTAGACTAAAGATGCATCACATATGCGGTGAAGGTTAAAGCTAACGTTTCTAACCTTGTTGATCACGCAAGGCAGCTTATTGCTCTAGGTAGTCAAATAATAGATGATATTGCGATGATATCTTTGACTGTCACCTTTGCCTACTAAAGTATAAACTGGGTTTTCATTATGAACTTTTTAGGCTGGCGTCATTGGCTGCCTCGTCAATACGGAAAATATTCCCGAATTTCAGAAATGTTTCGACTTATCTGAAAGGTTAGTCTCTCGGTGGTAACCCTTGTATATTCGTGGAATATTTAAGGTATCCGAACTTTTTTCTTCCCTGCATTGGAGTTCATCCTGTTCAAGTATGTTGCTATCGTGCAAACTGTTCTTTGCCTGTTCATTTTATGACTGTGATGAAGAAATAAGCTTTAGTAGCGAAGGTTAATTTTCATACCTCCCCTTAGAATAACATATCTCCAGATTTGTACGGTCAAATTCCACCGCTTTTTGCTTCTAGTCATTTAGGGAGGTATTTAACCAGGTCACAACTTGACGATCGTAATATGAAGCTCAAACTGCTTCTGTAGAGAATGGAAATGTAGAGGAATTGTTTCTGTATTTAGCTGGGGATGGCTATCGAGTGCAATTACTGTGGTATTACAATACTGCCAGCTCTCAGGAGACCGTTCTCTTAGATACGCATGGGAAAGCTTAGGAAGACAGTTGATAGAAGAATCCACTGAAATCGAGCAGGCTTTCAGACGGGGTATTCCTGCTCTGACCAAATTTCCACTTCATTGGATTATAGAGTAGTGCTGACAGTTCTACTTGCTTTGGTTTGCCAATTTTAGTTCCACTTTGCTCGGTTTGCGAGTTCCAGTTTCATCGGTTTTAGGGCTGCATTTGATTCAGTCCATCATCCTACGATGTGGGAAATCTTAAAATATTCTTGGATACCTGAACACATTGTTTCCATTCTGGAAGAGATATACGCAACAGCCATGTTTGCTATCAAAGTCGAAGGGGAACTGTGAGAGAGGTTCCCTGTTAACTGCGATGTTCACCAGTGCATGTGCTTTTGCTATTCAAAATTGTTCTCGACTTTCTCAAAAACAATTCTGACCTTGGAAAAGCGAAAGTCTCATTCTAAAATGGAGGCGCAGTTCATGATATCCAGCTTTATGTCTTGTTGACATGAAGTATCAGGGGATATTGTCTCATGAATATTACGTTATAAAGTCACTACCACCGCACTACTTCCATGTGCAACACAGATGCAGAAGCTGGTGTCTTTCTTAACGCCCGCAAGTCCAAGCGTATGACGAAACCATCCGGCGCATCTGACCTAGAAGTGGAACAAGGTGGTAAAGTGCTTCATGAGTTGACAAATCTAATTCTCGCAGCTCCATCATCTCCACTGATGGCATCATCCAACCACAGTCCAATAGGACGATTGCCCGGGCCCTTTAGTGTTTTTGGAGATCGATCCAGTATATCGGTAGAGAGGGGACTGTCTCTTTCCACAGAGTTCCGCCTATATCTTTTCTCTGGCAGGTCAGTGTTGTAAAGCAGCATGGGATTGTTTTGACGAGCTAGCAAGATCGACGGTTGAACTGCATACAGCAGGGTTGGCTTCGACGGAGATAAATGGTAGGATCACGTAGTTAGTGAAAAATATTTCGCTGTCGTTCCTTCTCAGGTTGGCGCGAATTTGCACGTTGCGTCGGTGGAATGCATTTTCTGCAATGATGATTCTCGTTGAACAGTTTCTTACCTTTTATTTTATTCTATATTACTTTATATAACCGTTTTGTTCCTTACATCGTCTGGTGATTTTCAGAAAGTATAACATGTAACATTATTAATTATGTGAAATTGTATTTTTTAGTATGAAAACGAAAACGGCGAATTCATTGGACGAAGTGTAAATGAGAACGATGTCAACGGCATAGAAAAACACTTAAGGACCAACTTGAACAGAGTAGTTGCCATCGGCGAGGTAAGGTTTTCGAAAGTTATGTCAATTTCTGCAAGGCTTTTTAATATGTAGATATTTACAGGAGTTTATCTACTGACATGCTGGATTAACCTGATTGTTAAATTCATAGATATACTTAAGGAAGTTGGAAATGATTGCCATGTACTTTTGAAGTACTTTCTGAATGACGTAATCTTTCGATAGTGGTGCGGATGTCATAAACGGGTCAAACATACATACCAGTTTTACTCACAAACATTTTACTATTTGGCGTTTTGTACTGCGCTTTATCATCTGCAGAGCAACAGTTATACTGTTGTTGTTATTCAGATATAAACAAGAATTTTTGTTTCTGTGTAGATGGACCAGGCATCGTTCTAAATGTCAGCATTGTGTGTAAAATGCTTAGGCGTAAGAACTGTTCTAAGCAGAATGCCGTTAAATACAACGAGGAGCGTAAGTCTTTATTTTATTAGTCTGGGCTAGATCTATCAATGTATCTTATTGAGCCGTATATATGTATATGTATAGCTTTATTCGTAGCTTTTCAACGCATTTCTCTGAGGCACTTCTTAGATGATTTACCTCTCCGAAAGGGATCTACCTTTACCTTATTCTTTCATTTGGCATGCTGGCCTCCTAGTCTACGATTGTCGTTTGGGCTCCCACGCGTAAGCTCACGGACTAGACTAAATTGTGTATTCTCAGCCAGTTTTTCTAGCAGAGCTATCCTCTGCCTGTTTTAATCTCTAAATCTGCTGAGGTCACCTCTGCCAGGAAACGAATGGAGTCATTTCCTACGTGGCATGCTGTTCATCCATCATTGTGTTTCGAATCCTCCGCTGCTGTACGAAGTTTAACCGTCGTTCTTGCTCCTTCGTTAGAACATCTCTCTGCATGGCATAAGACAACACGACCTGACAGATGCAAAGCACAGGCATGTGTTTTTTGGGAATAAGATGCCCTTTTCTCAGCCCAAATGTTGGACAGGTTACAAAAGCACTCGAGTGTAGAGCGGTCCTCGTGTTTAACCCTGATTCATTGGTGCCATCAAGGTAAATGATGGAGTCGAAATACTTAATTCTGTTAACCTTTTGAATTGCTTCACCTCCCCGTTCCACTTGTATATCCAGCTGTGCAGAATGGGGTCTTTATAAATGTTGACTAATGGGCACAACGAAAGTGACCGGTTTCCATAGCTGTGTCGCATGCGGAAGCCGTCAGATGACAGGGCTCGTTGCCCGTACTTTTCACCGAGACAGTATCTTCTGCTCTTGTCCAGCAAATGTTTAATTCAATATCCTGAACTGCGCCTTCCCTCTCGAATGGTATCTTTGTTTCTGTCAGGGTAAGTACTGCTTAAAATGAGAAAGTCGAGAACAACGTTGTATGGCAAAGGCAAAAGCGCGTCTTTCTAACGGACTGCAGATTTAATAGCGAACCTCACGTAGCTACCCTTCGACTTTGACAGCGTTTTTCTAAAGTGTAAATAATGTGCAAAGTTATCAGGTAGTATTTCAAAAATTTTACATCGTCGGACGATGTAATGAATCAAATGCCGCCTTAAAGTCGAGAAAATTGGTAAACAAAGGTAATAAGAGCCATCCTCATTGCGCATTGATCCTAAAATTTGGTTGAGACATGGGTACCCCATCCGGAGGATGACTCGATTTTGACAAAGTCTTCTGACAGTTGCCAGCCTCTGCTGTTTCAGAGTTGCTCAGAAGTTCCCCGGAAGTTAGCAGTGATGTGGTAACGCAATAACTGAAACACTGTCGCCCGGCTCCCTTTAAATATAAGAATAATTTCTAGGCACTTCCATTCTTCAAAGAATCCTTCAGAGGTCCACATTGATGAAAAATGGCAAGGAGTTTTCCTGTAATGACCGTTCTTCCGTACTTTATTAGCTCCAGAGAAATTCGATCTATTTAGTACCAGTGGCTATCATATTACATAATCTTCCTGCCTAAGTCAAACACGGGCAGTAAATCGGTATGCATTTGAAATGTTTATTTATAAATACTATGTTTGTTACAGCGGCGGTTTTGAAATCCCGGTTCCGTGTTAGTTTACATAACTACAGAATATGGACAAAGATGTACGGTGTGCGTGTGCGTAAGTGCAATCTGATTGGAACATCGTGATGGAGAGTTTATAATTGCAACAGTAAAGGATAATTGCAAGAAAGGAAGAATGGGGAATGAGAAAAGAAAATCAGTCAATGTTATATCTGATTCCATCTCGGTAGGAAGCATTGGTAGCTGTTCGGATCATTGACGCGGTCAGAATAGTCGGTGTTGGTGAAGGTTTATTCTCTTATTAAGGGAGGTTCTGGTAGTGCGTCGGTGTGTAAGATTCTGAATTGCACGCTGGCGCTCAACTTCATGCTGTACAACCTACCCCTCAGAGCGGACCTCTCTTTGTTTCACAAGAACCTTAGTATGTTCTTTTACGTGAGTTTTTATACGCCATTTAGTCGTTCCTGCGTATCAAGCGCTGCACTGTAGACAATTCATGCTTTAAACGGCACAGTTCCTTATTCAGATATCATGTCTTTGTGTTGTCCCAGAATTAGATCTTTCAGTGCTTTTCTTATTCTAAACTTTGAATCCGATTGGATTAAGATAGCACTTAGCAGTGAATAGCGTTTTTGTGTAATTTACACGTGTTTGCGGCATTAATCACAATATCGATACCGATCGCACAGACGCATGCTGAGCATATTCGACGTAAGTTTTTGTCTAAAAATATTTTGCGGCCATGATTTTTGTTTATTGATTGGATCGAGAAAGTTTCAGGTCGGGCTTGATTATACACCTCGGTTTATTCATTCGGATACGGACAAAAGCAACCAGAAGGAAGTGTTTAGACGTCAAATCGAGTTGGCAAAGACTCACCAGTTGCCAGTGTACCGGTCGAATCTGTTTTGCTAACGTTTGTATGAATTTCGGTTTTTAGCATCGTTCATTCTCGTTCTGCTGGCAAACCTGCTATCGATTTCTTGATTGAAAACGGTATGAAAACAGTTTTTTGAACATTTTCAAACCTTACCGCCGGCGGTGAGCTCCTTCGTCTAGCTGCTTTCGTTTACGCCGCCAGTTATATCTCTAAAAGTGTTTCTTTGTCGTGAAATGTCTTCCTTCTGAGCAGAATTTATATTGAAGTTGCACCATAACTAAGTAAAACATCAGTACCAGATTCTCACTTCATTGTAGCTCTGAACAGCTGAATTATTTTGCGCGCGATGTAGAACAGAATATTTCGTTTCCTGCAACCGCCCAGTAATTTTGTCAGTCTGCAGCGTCATCAGTTTGGTACCCGCACTGAGTTAGTCCCTGTACGTTCTACACGATGTATAGTTGTTTATGATGAAGGGAATAAGGGCTTGCACGAAGTTTGAAGTTGAAGAAGAAGTTTCTTCTCTCAGGATATTTTTTTCTTTTCTTAGAGCTGATTTAATCGTGTAGGCTTTTTGGGGTAACATTTTTTGCTGACTGTCGGTTGAGTCAAAGCAAACCGCAGCCCAATGAGATGCTCGTGTCAAACCACACTGCTTTACGGCTCGCTTATTCCGGAGTGACCACAACAGCACGCCATGTTGTTCCTGTCGTTCACAA